CACTAAAATTTATTTTTTTTGGACAATCATTTTTCTGGACACCAATTTTTGGACAATAATTTGTGGACTTTCATTTGTAGAATTTTTGGTGTGTTTGGTTTTTGAGTTGAGGTGAAGGAAAAGGCTTCATTATTAATATCTGCTTTCAAGGGTGAAAGTTTGACTTTTTCTTGGGTTACATATTTGGGATTCACTATTAGAATAATTAAGGTTATAGGTTGCCGAGTGATATATTGAATAAATGAACAATATATGTATGTAAAGTGCTGCGTAAATTGACGGGACTATATAAGTACCTGTAATAAATAAATAAATAAGAAGGTAAAATTCAAGTATCAAAAGATTCTGGCTAGTGGCTACAAACTTGAATTGCATTTGTTGACTGTTTCCTTGTTTTGCTTATCACAGTATTTCATATCTGTGATTTCAATTCACCTTGCAAATATATTTAGAAAATGGATACATTCTTGGTCACAGGCCAGTACAACTTACTGAGCAATGAAAAGACTGATGACAGCAAGAGTCAAACAAGAATTTCTTTATCGAAAATTTTACACACAGGACGTGGCTGAAAATGAAAGTGTCACTAATCCCTGTATACAAAATAACATATTTTTATACCATTATATGGTATGTCGCTTCTATTGATAATGTACAACAGCACATGTGGTAAAATACATTGGAAATCCTCCTGCTCCAAATTCCTCTAGGAGGGTGGCTACATTTGCTCTACATCAGTAGTTCTCAACCCTCATAATGCCGCGACCCTTTAATACAGTTCCTCATGTTATGGTGACCCCCAACCATAAAATTATTTTTGTTGCTACTTCATAACTGTAATTTTGCAGTGGGAGGAGTAGTGCCACATCATTGGTGTCAGTGAGAGGAGTAGTGCCACATCACTGATGTCAGTGGGAGGAATATTGTCCCATCGTTGGTATCAGTGGGAGGAATAGTGTCCCATCATTGGTATCAGTGGGAGGAATAGTGCCACATTGTTGGTGTCAGTGGGAGGAATAGTGCCCCATCATTGGTGTCAGTGTGGGAGGAATAGTGCCCCATCATTGGTGTCAGTGGAGGGGAATAGTGCCCCATCATTGATACTAGTGTGGGGGGGAATTGTATCTGCATGTGGGCGGACCCTCCTGGAGACTGATAGAGGAGCGGTGTCTCGGTTCCTAAGACCATCGGAAATATGTGTTTTCCGATGGTCTTAGGAGACCCCTGTGAAAGGGTTGTTTGACCCCCAAAGGGGTCGCGACCCACAGGTTGAGAACCGCTACTCTACATGGTCTTATTGGACCATGTGTTGGAATGTAGCCACCCTCCTCGGTGTACTCCAGATAAAGAATGCGTGCTAACAGCCAATCGCTATCCAAACAACAACCTTCAATAGGCTTGAGAGTGACTTGGGGACCAGCCTGAATGAGTAAAAATGGAGAAGCATGTGCAGAAGAATTGGCAGGCACATTGATAACTGGGAAATGCTCCTGCTGGGTCCTGAGCTGGGCTGTGTGTGTCCATAGACACACACAGCACCAAGAAGCATGCCCCCAAGTCTGTTAGCTTGGAGAAGGGAGAGGGAGGGGGAGGGAGGAGCAATTGCACGTCCTCAGGGGCCTTAATGGTGAGATCGCATGAAACGGCACTGGGCAGAGCTGTAATTGCCAGAGGTCGTGCCGCCACTCCGTGTTGGACTGGCGGCCCCTTATGTAAGTGTGACAAGTGGCATCTGTACTAGTATTGTTTACTATTACTTTGGATGTTTTTAAATTGTATATACACTTTGAGTCACCATTAAACTTCTGCACAGTGAGAGTGTCTCTTGTTGCTGGTGGCCCCTTGTGGATATGAATGCAGGTACTGACCCCTGGTGGAGTGGAGGAGTTCAGTTTTGCCATAACATCTTTAGAAAGAATGAGAACATGATGGATACCATGTAACAAGCGTCTATTGCTGTTCTATCCTTAGCCCCGGTTCACACTGGAGCCAACTTTGAAATCGATTTCAAAGTTGGATGGCAGTGCATCCTCACAGACATCTGTGCGACGTCACACACAGATGTCCATACAAGTCCCACCCAAAATCAGCAGTGCAGGAACTACTTTTCAAATCAAAAAGAACAGATCCATTGCCGATCATTGGATGCGACTTGTCTTGTGACTTGAATTTTCAAATCGCATGACATGTCGGATCCATGGGAACGAGGACTTAGACAGCATAGCACAGATGTCTATACAAGTCGCACCTGAAATCAGCAAAAGTAGTGCAGGAACTACTTATCAAATCAATTAGAACGGTTCCAGAGCCTGTATGGCTCTCTCTACAGCAGCTGAAAGCTGGCTTCTTCTCATCTCCCTCCCGCTGGCTTTCAGCTGCTGTAGAGAGAGCCATACAGGGGATTGGTTCCATTAATTGCCCCCCGCCACACCCATGACCATCCCTGTATTCTATACGTTTCCCCCAGGCCTCCCAGTGTGCCCCCACTGTGCAGTGTTGCCGGCTCCCTTCTGTTCTTTCCACCTGCAGCTGCAAGCACACAATAGGATGGAGAGTGAGGGAAGGGTCTGGTAAATATGTCACATTTACCAGCCCCTTCCTTTCCTGAACGAACACAATGAGTGATTGGTACTGATCGCTCAATGTGTTCATTCATAACTGAAGCTAGTAAACTGTGTGTTTTTATTGTGGGGGGGGTAGGCCCTGTCGGGTTGGCTGTATGGCGCCCCATAGTTTCTAACAGCAGCCCTGAACACAGTCTAGGGCAGCAATGGGCAAACTACGGCCCGGCGGACCTTTTAATCCGGCCCGCGGAGCTAGGCTCCCGCTAGGCTCCTCTCACAGTCCGCCCTGAAGACTGGTGTAGCATGAAAATCTGTCTCCTATGAGGATCTGTCCCCCTCGACGTATCTGCGCATGTGCCGGAGATCGCCGATCGGCTGCTAATACCTGAAACTGGCACATGCGCAGATACGTCGAGGGGGGACAGATCCTCATAGGAGACAGATTTTCATGCTACACCGGATCGGCGCGGGAACACGGCGAGAGGAACGCGCGGAGCAAAGGTAAGTGAATTGACACAGGGGGGACTTGGGGACTTAATATGGGGGATGAATTAATATGGGGGATGAATTACTATAGGGGGGATGAATTACTATATGGGGGATGAATTACTATAGGGGGGATGAATTACTATATGGGGGATGAATTACTATATGGGGGATGAATTACTATGGGGGATGAATTACTATGGGGGATGAATTACTATGGGGGATGAATTACTATATGGGGGACGAATTACTATATGGAGGATGAATTACTATGGGGGATGAATTACTATGGGGGATGAATTACTATATGGGGGATGAATTACTATGGGGGATGAATTACTATGGGGGATGAATTACTATATGGGGGATTAATTACTATGCTTACTATGGGGGAATATTACTATACTTACTATGGATGACACATACACATCATTCATCTACTCTTGGTCCGGCCCCCGGGTCCAATATATGAACCCATTGCGGCCCTCAAGTCAAAAAGTTTGCCCACCCCTGGTCTAGGGAGACACAGCTCTAGTTCTTTAATAAAAGGGTGGTTTCAAAGGATGCTGCAAGAGAAAGGAGCCACCCTGAAACAGTAAAATATGAAGAACAATTAAATTAGCTGCTGAAAGTGCTTTAAACATTGCGGGTTTACCCACTTGCTGACTGTCCCATAGCAGGTAGTGTCCTGGTTCGGGATTCAAACTGAAGACCCCAGTGCTGCAAGTCAGAAATGCCAACCACTAAGCCACCCTGCTGTGCTCACCTTTGTCAACAATGTTCTTTGTCAGTGCGATTAGGACCCCTTACATTGGTGATTAGTGTAGTGACCCTTTACATTGATGGTTAGTGGAAAAGTGGTCAGTGGTAGATGCACACCTTCCAAAATTCGAATATCAAATAGAATCAGCTATTCTTCACAACAAATTCGGAGTGATTTGATATTTTTCATTCAAATTTATTGGAAAATTTTAAATCCGGTTGAAAACGAACAAACAAAATAAAGTGAAATTAATTTTGTTACAAATGCAACAAAACAGAATTAGTAAATTAACAGATCGATCCAAAACAAAACACATTATCCTCTTCTGCACATGTCTGTTTAGCTGTTTAAGAAGGTGGGTGGGATTTTTTGTAGCAAAGAGAACATTACAGTTAATATTTCTACTCTCAAATCAGGTAAACATAGTGATACTTACATTATCGGCCCCATCTGTGCTTCCAAAAAGCACATTTCTAGCCCCAAAACATGCAGTTTAAGTTACTTAGAGGATAAGCTCACCTTTGGAACATGTTACATGTTCCCCCCATTTTTAGGGTGGAACATGTAACCAGCCTCTCCCCCCTCCCCAATTTCTCCTCTCTGTGACAGTGGGCAAGGGATCTTTTCTGCACACATGGCCACATCATTCATTCAGTTTCCTGTGAATGAATGCCTACAAGTACCATCAGCCATTGTAGCTGACGCCTTGTAGTTCTCAATGTAAGCGCTCTCATAGTTCGTGGATCTTCCTACTCTCAAATAACTGCCTGTCTGTGTGAGGTATGGGCAGACAGCTATGCTGAGTGTCTGCAGGAGCCTGAGATTGCACTTGTGCTCTGCTGATCGCTCTGCAGGCTCCTTTGAAAAAAAATAATAAATGCACATTTTTTTTTACCTGCAAAAAATGTGCATTTTTTTTTTCAAAAAGGTAACTTATCCTTTAACTGCTTTCCCACTGCCTATAGCAGAAGTACTGCTACAGGGCGGTAGGGGTGCGCACAATCATGTATATATATATATATATATATATATATATATATATATATATATGTGATTTGCAGTTCCGGGCAGGGGTCATGCACGCACCTTACCTGCGCCGCCATTCGCCAGCACCCAGTGAATACTCGCCTGCACCCGGTGATTGCCGAGTATCTATGACGGGGGAGACACCTGTATGTAAACAGTACAGATCTCTCCTGTCAGCTCCTGCACACTGCTTTGTATGGCTCTGCATAGCAGAACCATGCAAAGCAGTGTGCTTAAAGTGAAGGATACAAATGGAAAAACAGAAAAAGGGCACACCGACCTTGTGCCTTTCTATCCAGTGTATTTGGACCACCCCGGTCTGTTGAGGGCAGCAAGCAGTGCATACTTCAGAAAATTCCAGAACATTCCTATTGGGTCTACTGAGTCCTTTCCTAGCGCAGGAGTAAAGTGTTTGTTGTGTTGGATTTGCTTAAAGTGAAGCACACATACAGCACACAGTTAACCTTTTGATCTCCCCACATGTTAACCCCTTCCTGCCCAGTGCCATTAGTACAGTGTCAGTGCTTTTTGTTAGCACTGATCGCTGTATTGGTGTCACTGAGGGATGTCAGTGACACCAAGTCAGGTCCCCCCCAGTGTCAGAATGCCCACCGCAGTCCCGTTATAAGTCACTGATCTATAAAAAAAAGTCCCACTATCTATACCTCCATTTGTAAACACTATAACTTTCACATAAACCAATTATGGGATTATTTTAGCAAAGACATGTCACAGAATACATTTTGGCCTAAATTTATTTAGAAATTTGATTTTTAAAATTTTTTTACTGGACATTATAGCAAAAAGTCAAAAATTGTGTTTTTTTTTTCAAAATTGTCGGTCTTCTTTTGTTTATAGTGCAAAAAATAAAAAAACTGCAATCAATTATCACCGAAAGAAAGCTCCATTTGTGGGGAAAAAAAAGACACAAATTTCATTTAGGTGCAGTGTTGCATGACCACGCAATTGTCAGTTAAAGTAACGCATCGCAGAAAATGCAGTATTACACTTTTATATATTTTTTCCCTTGCACTGCTGTGGAGTTTGGTGGGAGGAGAAGGCAGGAGCGAGTGGAAGAAAATATCTTATATCCTATATGGTGGGTAGGAGCCCTGATAGTTTATAAAGGGGGTCTATCAGGGGTGGACTGACAACTCATGGGGCCCCCGGGCAATAGGGGATCATGGGGCCCCTGTGTCATTGCCCAAACTCAATAAAGCCTATGAAAAAGGTACCAGGGGCATTTCATGGGGCCCCTTACTGACCCCTGGCCCTCGAGCAGTGCCCGAGTGCTCGAATGGTCAATCTGCCCCTGCTCATATCCCATATTACAAGGTCAGACCTGTCAGGAATCTGTGGCAGTCTAGGAGCCCATAACATCCTAAAAGGCGCAATACTCACCATCATCTGGTGAGTGCGGTTGATGTTGGTTTTTCACCAATTGGTGATTGGTGGAAGCATTATTTCGTTTGGATATTTGTTTTTTCACAATCTATTGGGGAGAAAGGACTTTTTTTCTTTTATTTGGACACTATAATATGAATGATAATTTTTGAAAAGGAATTTCCTTTGAAAGGTCACTTTAATTAATTAATTTGAGTATCTCATATGTTTATTGATTTTCACACTATATTTAAGGCATTGTTTGAGGTGTTGCTTTGCACTGTTTATTTGTTTTTTTAATTGGGTGTTAATTACCTGTGCGCAGCTGCATTCTACTACCTAAGTGTAAATTTTTGGGGTTGTTCCTGTGCGCTGGGGATTGCTGTATATTTATCGCAGAAAATGGTCCGGTCAGGAAGGGGGGGGGTAAATCCTCTGGAGGGCAAGTGGTTAATATCGTTGAGTCACTTTGGGGAGATCTCAAACGTGCGGTTCATGCAATACGACCAAAGACTTTGCATGACCTGGAGGCATTTTGTCAAGAGGAATGGCCAGCTATACCACCTGCAAGGATTTAACAGGGGGCATTTCATTGGTTTTATGATTGTGCCATTCTGTTATGACCTACAGTTGCATATGAATCCCATAAGAAATAAAGGAAATTTGTTTTGCCTGCTCACAGAGGATACATTTGGATACATTACAGTGGGAATAACAATGCCAAGAGGGTCAGAATGGCAATGGGTAAACATACAGTACAGAACAATGTTAAAGTTTTACTAAACCCAGCACCCTGCATTCACTATATCTGGCCTCCCACAGTACACAGAACATGGAAATGCAATTTTTTTAGTAAATATAAACTGCTGATCACATGCACTCTCCCAAGAAACAAAAAAAAACTTTCCAGCAATACACACCAAACTGAGCATGTGCAGCTTGCCCCCAAGGCTCTGTACTATCAGCAGATGGATTGGGGACAGTAGAAGAAGAGGAGGATCAGAGAAGCTTTCTGACACATTGCAGAGGATTAACCCCTTAGGTTCCACAGTGAGTATAACAAGCATGCTTTACTTCATATACAGAATGATTTTACTGTTGTGGGTTTAGTAACACTTTAACAGATTATAAAGTAGGGTGAAGCTGTTTATGGCTTCCCTGCTGCTGCATATACTGCTACAGGGTGGCAGGGCTGTGCAAAGCCTGCCTCTCCACTGGCTGTCCCCACTTCAGTCCATCCTGAATACGGCTGCCAGACTCATTCACCTTTCCAACCGCTCCGTTTCCGCCACCCCCCTCTGCCAATCCCTCCACTGGCTTCCGATTGTGCAACGGATCAAATTCAAAATCCTAACACTGACGTACAAAGCTGTCCACCATACTGCCCCGAACTACATCACTGACCTAATATCCAAGTACCGCCCAGCACGCACACTCCGCTCCTCACAAGGCCTCTTTCTCTCTAGTTCCCTGGTCTCCTCCTCCCATGCCCGCCTCCAGGACTTCTCCAGGGTGTCACCCATCCTCTGGAACTCCCTGCCCCAACCCATCAGATTATCACCTACTCTTCTCTCCTTTAGGCGCACCCTGAAAACCCATCTCTTCAGGGAAGTTTACCCCACCCCCTGCTAACCTGCCGACCTCCTCCACTCTTCCTACCACTCCATCCCCCACAGCTATCTCCTCCTGTGCCACCATCCCCTCCCTCCTAGATTGTAAGCTCGAAAGAGCAGGTCCCTCAATCCCCTCATGTTTTGCATTGTATTGGTATTGTTCTGTCACATGTTCTGTCCCCTTTGTAATGTACAGCGCTGAGCGAACTATTGGCGCTTTATAAATACTGTATAATAATAATAATAATATATACATGATTTTGCATTTCTGGGTAGGGGGCTCGTGCCTCTCTACCAGCTCCACCATTGGGGGCTACAGATGTTGATCACCAGGTCCCAGCCAGATTCCCCGCCGGCAGGACTGCTGTTAGAAACCACGGGGCCCCATACAGGCAACCTGATAGGGCTCCCCCCCCCCCCGAAATAAAAGTTTACTATGCTTCAGTTTTAATTAACACAATGGGTGATCAGTATTGATTACTCATTGTGCTCATTCAGGAAAGGAAGGGGCTGGTAAATGTGACATATTTTACCGGACCCTTCCTCCACTCTCCATCCTGAAGGATCCTATTGTGTGCTTGCAACTGCCGGTGGGAACGAGAAGAGGGAAGCCAGCAGCACTGCAGGGGTGGGGGCACATCGAGGGGCCCGGGCAGCAGGGTGAAATGTATGGTGCACAGGCAGGGAAATCGGTGTACTATGGGGGGGGGGGGGCAATTACTGGAACCAGTCCCCAGTATGGCTTTCTCTGCAGCAGCTGAAAGCTAGCGGGAGGGAGAGGAGAAGAAGCAAACTTTCAGCTGCTGCAGAGAGAGCCATACAGGGGAACGGTTAAAGTAATTGCCCCCCCATGCCGATCACCCTCCCTGCAGACATCCAATTCACCTAGATTCCTGGGCCCTCCTGCTGACCTGGGCCCTGTACAGGAGGACTGATGGTACCCCATTATCCACGGCCCTGCGCACCAGCACCCGACAGTCGCCGAGAAACACTGACAGGGGAGAGACCTACAGTTGCAAGAAAAAGTATGTGAACCCCTTGGGATTACGTGGAGTTTTGCATGAATTGGGCATAAAAATGTGCTCTGAACGTCATCTAAGTCACAACAATAGAAGAACACAGTCTGCTGAACATAATACTACACAAACATTAGATGTTGCCATGGTTTAATTGCACATAACATGTAAACATTCACAGTGCAGGGAGGAAAAAGTATGTGAGGCCCTAGCTTAATGACTTCTCCCAGAGCTAATTGGAGCCAGGAGTGAGCCAACCTTGACTCCAATCAGTGTGATGATATTGGATGTGTTGCTGACAGCTGTCCTGTCCTTAAAAAACACACCTGTTTTGGGTTTACTGGTTTCAAGAAGCACTGTCTGATGTGAACCATGCCTCGCAGAAAAGAGCTCTCAGAAGACCTACGATCAAGAATTGTTGACTTGCATGAAGCTGGAAAGGGTTACAAAAGTATCTCCAAAAGCCTTCATGTTCATGTGTCCACGGTAAGACAGACTGTCTACAAATGGAGAAAGTTTAGCACTGTTGCTACTCTCCCTAGGCGTGGTCGTCCTGTAAAAATGACTGCAAGAGCACAGCGCAGAATGCTGCATGAGGTAAAGAAGAATCCCAGAGTGTCAGCTAAAGACCTACAGAAATCTCTGGCACATGCTAACATTTTTGTTGACACATCTACAATAAGGAAAACATTAAACAAGAATGGAGTACATGGGAGGACACCACGGAGGAAGCCATTGCTGTCCAAAAAGAAGATTGCAGCACGTTTGAAGTTTGCAAAAGAGCACCTGGATGTTCCACAGCACTACTGGCAAAATATACTGTGGACAGATGAAACCAAGATTGAGTTGTTTGGGAAGAACACACAACACTATGTGTGGAGAAAAAAAGGCACAGCACACCAACATCAAAACCTTATCCCCACTGTGAAACATGGCGGAGGGAGCATCACGGTTTGGGGCTGCTTTGCTGCCTCAGGGCCTGGACGGATTGTTGTCATTGATGGGAAAATGAATTCCAGAGTTTATCAAGACATTTTGCAGGAAAACGTACAACCATCTGTCCGCCAACTGAAGCTCCGCAGAGGATGGGTGATGCAACAGGACAATGACCCAAAGCATACAAGCAATTCAACAAAACAATGGCTGCAACAGCACAGAATACGCCTTCTGGAGTGGCCCAGTCAGAGTCCTGACCTCAACCCGATTGAAATGCTGTGGCATGACCTTAAGAGAGCGATTCACACCAGACATCCCAAGAATATTGCTACACTGAAACAGTTTTGTGAAGAGGAGTGGTCCAAAATGACTCCAGATCGTTGTGCAGGTCTGATCTGCAACTACAGGAAACGTTTGGTTGAGGTTATTGCTGCCAAAGGAGGGTCAACCAGTTATTAAGTCCAAAGGTTCACATACTTTTTCCTCCCTGCACTGTGAATGTTTACATGTTATGTGCAATTAAACCATGGCAACATCTAATGTTTGTGTAGTATTATGTTCAGCAGACTGTGTTCTTCTATTGTTGTGACTTAGATGACGTTCAGAGCACATTTTATGCCCAATTCATGCAAAACTCCACGTAATCCCAAGGGGTTCACATACTTTTTCTTGCAACTGTATGTGTAAACAACACAGGTCTCTCTCCTGCCAGCAATAGCATGCTGCTGTGTATTTCTCACCTATGACTTGCTTCCCA